TTATCATAGCATTGCTAAAAATTACAGTTTTTTTTTGTTTTTTGTGATGCTGATAATATACTAAGGGAAGATTGTAGGATCATATAATGACTCGAAGGAGAAAAGAGCGTGACTTCAGTATATTGAAGCACGATGAAGTATCGCACTTCGAAGTAGTGAAGTCGCGCTTTTTGCCTCTTCAGCGACACCTCATTCTATTCAGGATTGTACTATTTTTAACATACTACTCTTAAAAAATAATATTCATACAGTCTTCTGAAGCCTCAGAAGTTCCGTATGTGGTTTTTCATAAACCATCCTCTGATAGTCCATCTATGAGATTTCAGTATAGAATATATTTGATAAAGAAATTCATTGACTATTCAAACCACTATTTCAATTTGAGTTAAATGTTTGATATCTTTATTTTAAAAAAAAGCATAAAAAATAAGTTGATCTTATATTTTTGACCAGTACTGTATATTTAATGAAAATTCCCTTTAAAAATAAAGAAAAATAAATTTCATTTTTATTTTTTATCATTACAATGATCATTGATCACACTATTAAAAATAGAAGAAAAAAAAACCAGTTACTACAAGAAAATAGAAAAAAACTACACACCGGAAATAAGTAGTTTACATTTTTAAAAATTCTGTTCGTGAATTTTAGGCAAAGGTTGTATACTAATACTTCGTCGAGGTGGTAATCGTGGTTGTGGATGATCGTTCTTATTATCATGTTCTATTTTAGGATAATAATTATTTTGCAATGAATCACGTGTTGGTCGTCGTGTTTTAGTATAAGATCGATCCTGGTGATTATAAACATGTAATATTGTATTTGATCGTTCTGAAGACAATCTTTCATTTTCTGAATTAACATCACATCGTGGTGGATCAATATTTGAACGATTTATTTTTACATCGTTAACTATTGAAATATTCATATAATTATTAGAAGTTAATTTCGATGGAAGATCTCCAAAATTTACGTATATAGGTGATTCTTGTAAAACTAAATATATAAATAGTTTTTTCATCTATAAATACTTAATTTGAAATTATCTTACCAACATCTAATCGATTAGTTTGTTTCAAAAGTTGTTCTACACAACGATATATCAATAAATATTGTTCCTAAAAATAATAACTTTTATTATTTTTCTATTAGATTTCAATTTTTAAATTACTTTTGTTTGAACCATTTTAACTCTTTGATGTCTTAATTGATATACAATACCCATAACATCAAGTTCGTACGTCATTAATTCATTATCAGGACGATCAAGTAGACGAACAATTGTATCTACTGTTAGGTAAGTACCTGTTCGACCAACACCGGCACTATGAAAAATGAAATCTATATATTTGATCTGGTATTTTATCATATTTCAAATATTTCTACCTGCAATGAACAACGATTGGTGTTGATAATAAACTATTTGTTGTTCTATTACAAACTGAAGATGGTGATGATCCATGTTTATTGACTTTTTCAATTAGAGCAAGTAATTTTGTTGCTTCAACAACATTAAAGTCCGACCAGCCAGTATAATAATAATGAATAACATCATGTTTTACATCATACTTTAAATAAATTTTATTTGAATTAAAGAATAAAATTTAAAAAAAAACGATATTCTTTACGTGTCTTATAGATAAATGACGGATTTCCAGATTAGTATGAGGATAGTTTTCAATATGATTCACTTTTACAATAATATTAAGAAATTTTAATTGTTCACCCTTACCATTTGGAAAATAAGAATAACATTTCGACTAAAATATACAAATAATTCAATTATAAACTCGATGAAAATTTAAATGAAGAACAAAAAAATGCGAAAATATCATAAAAGAATCTTAGCCTTCTTGACCGAGAATGGGTCCATGTGTTTGGCTATTTCTATTAATCATTTATCCTCTATTTAACAATTACTCAAATGACCATGTCTTTATCCATTACAAAAAGTTAACGAGGCATAGAATCACTCTATAGAAATAGGATAAAGAAATTTTTCCAAAAAGCTTGAAAGTTTTTAAATAAAATGTTTTTCACTTTTAGGGAGTAGACATTTTTGTTTTAGGATTATTATTCGATATAGGTTGATGAAGAGGTCTACTAGTGATTAATATACAATCTTCAAAAGTTCCATGATAGTTTGGTGTATTACAAAGAATAAGACGCAAAATGGATCATGTTGCCATGATTTGACATCGAGAACGAATAAGAATAAAGTTAATATATTTATTATGAATGTCATCATATGAAAAATTCAAAGAATATTTATTCGAAATAAATTATCTTCAGTGTTTATAGAATCTCTTAAAGAAAAGAAAGAAAAAAAAATCAAGATTTTACATATCTTCCTTCTCTTCGACATGATCCCTGGAGTAGCCATTAAGAGCAGAGAATCTGATAGATTCTTAGTATATTGGAGAGATTAATATTCTATTTATTTTATTAGTGGATCTTCCGAAAACTACTCTGAGAAAGTAAAGACTTAAGAAGAATACAGATAAGATTTGTTTGTTTTTTGCAACGAAAACTTTCTATTTAGAAAATAGTTATTTACGTGCCCGATTTCGTTCTTCAAATTTAGTTAACATCACAATTTTGGGTACTTTGTATTGAATAATCATATCCCAAAAATCTTGACATGTATCTTCTAATGGACCTTGACATGCAATATATGTTCTTTTTTTATCAAAACTCTATAAGGTTAAAAAAGAAAAAATTTATTCGAAATATATATATTTAAATAAATAATTTACTGTGATTTCATTTGCATTAATATAATCATGCAAACGATGTTGACCTGTTAAAGAAACTGCTGTTTGTTCCCCTATAATAATAAACAAAAAAAAGAGCTTGAAAGATTTTTTTCTCTGAATGCCTTTCCATACATGTTCCACGAGCTGGAATATTTTTGTAACGATCATAAACAGCCAAATTCGGATCATAATCTGATTTATGATATTGAGGAGAAATTCTTTCTAATTCCTAAATTCAATAAAATAAGAAAAATATAAATTAGAAAAAATCTGTGTATATATGTTAACCGACCTTGAATTCATCATATATTTCATTTTCAACTTCTTGATTTATGTGTAAATACTCAATAAGTAATTTTGGTCTAGATAAAATAAAAATAAAAATTTTCATATTCAACAATTGTTAATTCACCTCATTGTTTTAAAGATAGAATTTAATGGAACTGATTCATTACTAGAACTAAAGAGGATTCACATTTAAAAATATTAATTTCTTTTCAAAGTTATTCTTTTTACTCTGAACTAATCGACGATCTACAAAAAAAAAACAAGAAAATAAATAAGTAATTACAATTACTTTGAAGAAATTTTTCATTTTTAATCAAATTACTGTCTATCCGAGTTTATGATTTCAAGGTATAAACTTTTAATATGTTTTCGTTGCGATGTAATGAAAATTGCAACAATCAATACAACTAATATAGGAATTATAATAAACCATATTATTGCTTTTGATGAATTTTGGGGTTGAATTTGAACTAAAATAAAGATATAATTTGAACAAAACAAAAAAAAAATATTGATTATGAAAATAACTTACTCTTCGTCTGAAATGATTTTGAAAGTGCAGAACTACAACCTACTTTCGTACAAGCATTAACAATAATTCTATTTATTAATCATAATAAAATAAATAATTTCAAATATGAATAAATAAATTTTACTTGTAAGTAGTATCTGCTTTCAATTTTCCATTACACGGAATATTTTCATTAGAATCATTTCGACATGTGTCATTACCAATTATTAAACGAAGTTTATTATCATCTGTTAGAACTACACTAGCAGAAAAATAAAATTAAGAAAAAAAAAGAACTTGTCAATGCAATCTCTTTGAGGCTGAAATGTGGAACTCACATATGTTCTTTAACCTGATTATATTAATACAAAATACGCTAAGTGAAAAATTCCTAGCAGACTATTTTTATCTTCTAAGGATAACTGATCTATCTGCATTTCGAATAGAAATTTTTTCTGCTTTCTAAAAATGAATTTTACATAAAATTAGTATATGATGCCCTAAGTTTAAATTTCGAGGAAGGCTTTGGAATTTTTTGGAATAATCTAAGTCTTATTGTCACTGCCAATCAACATTCTGGGAAAGGAGTCTAATGCTTGTTATCCTCGGTTGCTTACTATTTTCTTCGAAAATAGATGTGAGTTTCACAAAACAAAAAAATAATCAATTATTAATGAATGTATATAAGAATAAGATGATTCTACTAAATATTTACAAGAATTATTTGGCGGTGATATTGTAATATTAAAAGCCAAATAATCAATCGAATTATTTTTTAAAGCAGCATAATATGTTCCGATTAAATCTGGTTCCGACGTATTCTTATGTAGATCTAGACAATAAAATTAAAAAAGAAATATCATCAGAAGAATATGTTAATAACAATCTGTTATAAAAGCTTACCTTGACGTATATAAATCCGATAGTAATATATGATTCCATTATCATTTGAAAATAATGATGGATCTATTTCAATGACATATTGTTCACTTTGCGATTGTGTATCATTGTCTATTGGAAGTATTTTATTTATTGTGTCATCATCAGTTGGTTTTTCGGGTGCTGAATAAAATTAAATAAAAATTAAATGTAATCATTAATAAAAATTTGTACCATCCTCTAATGTTTTTACAAACAAACGTTGAGAAGAACGTATATGCTTTGAATTAAGTAGTAGACGAAATTTATATCTACATATATAAATAAAAAAAATATTAATTTAAACAAATATGAGCAAAGAAGAATAAAAAAAACTTACTGTCGATTAGGTAAAAGTTCTTTCCATGTATATGAAAATGTTGTTTTACTGAGATTAACAGATTGAGTTTGATTTAGAAGTAATTCAAAACATTCAACATATGCTGGTTGACTTATTGCCCACTTAACTGTTATGGATCGAGATGTTTTGCTATTTAAACTTAAATTTGGTGTTGGAGGAACTAAAATAATTACGATAGAAAAATTTTTTATTTATTTAAATATTTCAAATTCTTACAAATATCCATTGTAAAATTTTTGGAAAATTTATTACTATAATTCGATTTTTTAGTAATAAAATAACATTGATAATTACATCCAAGATTACCATCATTTTCAAGTGTTGTTATACATTGATTATGTTCTTTTGCCAAATTTTGACATGGATATATATTATTTTCAGTAATACAAATTGATTCAAGACGATCAAAATCACTTTGTTGAGTTACATTAAAAACAAATTTAGTTGTATTTGAGAACCATTTTTCTCCTTCTTTTTCATAAAGTACTGGTTCAAGATCTAAGATTAAAAAAATAATCAAAACATGAACAAAATCAATTGATAATGATTATGATCATATTCATTTACCGGTTCTGAAAGAGAATTGATCAGATGTTACATTTATGAAATTTTCTTTAACAGTTATTGCTTGACATTGGTATGAAACTCCTCTTATTATAGGAGAAATCGTAATAGAATCACACTCAGAACAATTTCCAGTTGTATTCGTTAATATACTTATATTATTTGAACAATGTTGATCTTGTGTAGAACAATTTAAATAAATTTCATCAAAATTTCCACGTGGATGATTAAAATAAATTTGTGCTGTTTTTCTATCATGATAATCATCTTTAAACGTGAAGTTTGTTACTTTATCAAGATCTTAAATGATAAGAAATTTTAGAGGAAAAAGAAATGTTTTTTCTTTTAATGATTACTTGTTTGAAATTCTTTATAAAGATTTTCTTCTGGAAAAAAATTCTTATCTTCATCTGCTATTGGAATAGGTAATCGAACTAATGATAAATTATATATTGAACCGAATTGAATATTAGAACATGTATATGTACAATTCTCTGAAAGAGTCCCATTTGAATCACTACAACGAAATATAAGATATTCTATATCACTTATATCTGTACAATTTGGTATAAAGATTAATGCTGATGTTAAATTTTTATCAATCATTACATCAATATATGTTGATGTATTAAGAGATAAAGGTTCTAACGTAACGATAAATATTTCATTGAAAATAATTTGGTTATGAAAAAATTTAGAACCAATATTGAATGTCCAATCTCGACCAGCTTTATTCATAATATTTTCACAAGTAACATTAATAATAGTATCATCCATATTATGTGATATGTCTTCAGTAACAAAACAATTTTCTACATCTGATTCATTGACAAAGACAAATAATTCAGATGAATTTATCGATGAACAATTATTATAAGTAATAAGAGCTGTAAACATAGATGAAGTTCGATTTTTAACAACGATACCATTAGATCTATTAAAATCACAAGTCTTCACTAAAAACAAACAAAGAATTACAATCAGTTTTTTTATTTTATAAATAAATTATATATTTACGAGGAGATGTTGTATATGTTTCAATATGGGTGACTGTCAAAAATGTACTTTCCATTGTAGTTTCATTAGTCAATATATTTGAAAATGCTGGATTACCATTGTTAGCCACATTAGATTTACTATTAATTAACGTGTTATTCGTCCTTTCGTAATTATTATCTAAAAACAATTTAAAATATTCTTTAAAATAAAAAGAAAAACGAGAGGTCTCAAAATGGGTATGACTCACTGCCAATAGAATTATATGTATCATTCGACATAAAAGTCGTTGTTGTTTCTATAGAAAGAGACTCAACACGGTTTGAATTTCGTGAAAAACTTGTTGTTTGGCCATTGATACATTTGATTATCTGCATAGATATAAATTTTAATTAACATTAATCAATTCATTTTTTTTTCTTACCAATAGAAAAACTGGAATTAAATAGTACACTCGACAACTTGATATATGCATAAGAACTTCTATTTGACTGAAGCAGTTAGTATAATAGGTGTTGTGATGTAATAAACTTTTGCATGAGAACAAGTAGAATTATAGAAGAAAAGTTGTTGACGAGTGACAGAATTTGATGATTCAAAAAGAATGAGGTGCAACGTTTTAGAAGGTGTGCTATTGAAGACAGTCTTTACATTTACCTGTATACATAACATATCTTTCATCGTATGATAGTGAGAATTACCTTTTTCTTTTTTTAATAAACAGAACAGGAAAAAAAAATTTAATATCCACCATAGACAATATCAGAATAGTAACAACTTACATTGAATCATTTTTTAAACAAAGAAAAGAAAAAACAATAGAATATCAGTAGTCATTCTTTTATGTTACCTTTTTCTTTTTCTAATCAAAGGAAATTCATGATAATAACTATTTGTTTATCTCGTTTTTTTTTCTTCAAGTATCATCAGTTAACATCTTTTTTTTTCTTTTATAGACACTTATATAAGATTACTAATAGATTGTATTGTGTCCATTAAATAAAAGTCAAAAGAAAAACTAGGTGTTAATCTACATTAACTAATCTTTTCAAGTAAATCAAATAATTCTTGTGCTTCATAAGCGTGTCATTTCGATCTTAATCAATCATATAATAATAAACAACAACGATAATCATTATAATTGTTAAAGAAATTTTCTTATGAAATCAACTTGACAAAAAAAAAATTTTTTTTGATAACTTGTTTAGCAAATAAATTCTAAATTTCAAGTTGAAATTTATCAAAATATTCAATATGATTTAGTTTAATAATTATTCTTTGAAATGTTATTCTTCCACGATTTTTTTTCTAACGAAAAATTTCAATTAATTGCTCATTCGAAAAAAAAAAGGTTTTCAATATAGTCCCTTTGAGGCAAAAATGTGGGACTCGTTCTTAAACCTCAATACAAAATACATCAAGTGAAAAATCTCTAACAGACAATAATTGTTTTTCAAGGATGATCACTTGCCAGAGAACTGATCTGTCGCATTTATTTGTAAATTTTGAACAGAAATTTTTTCTCTTTTTTATTGGTGCTCTATTTTTTGTTTGCCTTGTTGATATTCGCTCGTCGTTTTTCATTTCTATTTTTCTTAATTTAACATTATTATTATTCCAACCATCTGAAAAATAAATCTGCCATACATACCATTATATCTACAACATGTCTCAATGTATTATTTATCTCGATAAGCTCACAAACACTGGTGTTAATTATTTCCCAAAAGTTATAGCTTGATCAATTAACACGTTTTATGCTGATCACATGATGGCTGTTGCAAATCAATATATCATTACTCATGATCAATTCTATCTGAGCAAAAATGAAAAAGTGCACTATTTCGGATATTGGCAAAAGTATTTCAGCCATTCAAATTTCGAGAAAGACTTTGGACTTTTCTAGAATAGTCTATGTTATGTCATTGCAGCTAGCGAGGGTCTTTTTCGTTGCTAAGAAAGTCGGAGAAAGGAATCTGATGCCTGTTGTCTTCGGTTACTCGGGCGTAGGAGAGAGAGAGAGAGAGAGAGAGAGAGAGAGCCGCAGAAATCTCGATTTAAATTTACACTCACTATGTTCTTCAAAAATATATGTGAGTTTCACAAAAGAACATATTATTACGAGTTCTTAAGGAATTTTAGTTATTTTTATTTTTTATTCAAATATATTTGTTTAGAAATGATTAAATCAATAATAATGAGGAAAAAAGTTCTAGATTATAACTAACTAAATTATAAAAAGATGTGTTTAATGGACAGTGATCGATATGAATTTAATCGTAAAAAACAAAACAAACTATAAACATAATTGAATTCTTTGTTTAAAATAGTTTCAAAAATATTTGACTAAAAATATTATTGTAAAATTCTTAACAAAAAATTTATTCACTGATTATTGTAAAACAAACTCATAGATCGAATTAGTTTCGAGTTCAGAATAAACCGGAATAGATTAATTCTAATTAACAGAACATTACATCTTATTAAGAATTATGAAGGAAATTTGTTTTGTATTCTTCTCCGTAAATTTATTATAAATAAAACTCTATTTTTTAGTTCAAAAATAACGTTGACCCGTAATTTTTAGCACGAATATCTTCGCACACAATATTCATACATTTTTCGGTTACTAAAAGGTAACTGATTAGAGCCAGAAGCAGCTAATTAGAATGTTATTTTCTAATGTATGTTCAGATTTTCCTTCTGAAGTAAGACTGAATAACTCTGAGGGAAACTTTGTGAAAAAGTTCAAAATTGTGTGTGCACAAATCAAAATAACATTTTTGCCGCAATCCTTAGTTTGCGTTTTGGAACAGATTCAGCTTAACATCATCGTAGGGCACTGAATTCTGTACAAAATGGGATATTACAATAAGCAAAATCTTATCTATGCATTTTCACTAAATAGCTAGTTTCTTTAACGATTGACATTAGTCAAAATGTCGCTGGTTCAAATAACAAAATTTTTAAAATCTTTCATGCACGATAAAACAAAAAAAAGTAAATATGTTCTGCAAAACTGAGGTATTACAAACTATTTCGCATTTTGAATTTGATAGGTTTCAACCGAAATACAGAATTGACTAAAATAGTATTCTCTATACAACCACTATTTTGAAATAGTATGATGATAGTTGTTTAACCTGAGCTCTGAAGAAAATTCGGAACATATAACCAAGCAGAGTTGAAAAGTTTGATTGTAAATAACTGCTTATGTCTATAACCATTTTCTTTACTATTTAATCAATATGTTAGTATCATTTAGACAATGTTAATCTTATATGATTGTAAAATATATTTTGTTAGTTGTCTTCGAAAATCAAATTATTTTCTTGGTTAAAATCTAAAAATGACGATAAAAACACAAAGTTATATTTCGATTTTTCATTATTTATTAATGAAATTTGATTGAAACTATATTGTTTAATTGTATTATTAATCTCATCTTTTATATTGTCTCTTATTAAACTAAATAATTGAACAAATATACATATCGAAACAGTTCCATTGATAGAAAAGATATTTTACATGACATATTTATGTCAAATTCTCATCAACTCTTATGATCATACTCGTCCAATTAAAAGAGATAAACTTTGTAAAATAATAATATATCTTTCATTGAGAATAATTTGATGAAAACAATCAGATTGATAGATATTTCTAGTTGGATATTTATTATTTACATATATTAAAACAAGTCCCATTAATATTATTAGTATTTACATTTAAATAGAGAATAATCTACGATGCATCAGTATCTGCACAAATGTCGAAGTATGCTATGTTCGAACGAAAAATGCTAGAAGTCTTACTGTTTCATTTACAAATAGTGACAAAGTATATACTTTAAAATCCATATTCAAAATAAAAATTTACGAATTAGTTTAAGACATTAAATTTTAATGTTTTCAAAACCGATAGAAGACAGATTGTTACAAAGGTAAAATAAGGAATTCTTTCATATCTTAGCTATGTGTTTGTTTAAATACTTGCCCACGGGATATAATTTTTGAGTAGCTGTAATTGGAAAAAAGTTTACGTCAAATGAATACAATCCTTACGCGTCACTAAAGCCTCTATTTACGTCGAAATTAGTGCCAAGTGCAAGTTTTGTTCGACCATTTCTGAACTCAATTAAAGAGCTCCGGGTCCACAAAAATGTGGACTAGACTCGAACTTGTCAATGATTTTGTACCCGCAGCTCCTCAAGCTCAATACAATGTACTTTTCTAACGTTTTTACCTTGGTAACAAGCCATTTTGAGTGGTTTCAAAAACGTTAAAATTTAAAATGTCTTACACTACCATCTAAATTTTATTCTGAATATGCATTTCAAAGTACATACTTGCCTCTATTAATGAGTGAAAAAGCTGAGCTTCCAGCATTTCCTGTTTGAATACAGCGCATCTCGAACATCTGTGCGGATATTTATGCATCGTAGGTTATATGAGCAATTTCATTTGTTAGTGACGTGATTTTACAAAATAAAAATTCTTATATATCTGAGCTCGAAAATCTCTTTTGAATATTTTTTTAATCTAACAGATGTATGTTGAGTTATTCTAGACATCCTGCAAAAACTCAGTTCTATAGACCTTTATTCTTTCGAGTTATTATTGAAAGACTAGTTTTAGCGATGTGACACAAAAAAATGGCCAAGGCTTTCATTGCATGAGTTTTCTATTGACACATCCTGCAAATTCAAACAGTATTTTTGAAAATTAAATAATGCGTTCTGTAGAGAACTCTTCAGATTAGAAAATCTCTATGATAAGTTCTTTCTTAATATACTTAAGTTTTTCAGAAAATTGAGTTTATGCATCGTCGGCAACATCAGTAAATAGGAATAAAGGAACGGAAAATTCTCTTGTAAATGAATGAGAATTCCCAAAAACAAATTCTAGATGGGACAGGGTCTTCTTGATCATTGCGAGATGATATTAAAATAAAAGGTCTCGTTTTGGAACAAGATTAGACCTCTGGAAAACTGATTTTGGGAAAGCAATTTTTTTGAGTCTGATCTTGGTGGAAATTTCACCATCATAAAATTAGAGAATTATTCGCTAATTACATTTTAGTTAGATCTGCGATGAAAGAGTCAATATTTTTACATATATTCATGGAAAAAGAACTTATTCAAAAAGCAGCAATCATAAAGAATCAAAGTCAAACTGATAATGACCATGTCTCATTTTTGTTGATTGTGTTCATATCTTCAATTTCAATTAATAGTCTTCTCATCATAGTGACTCTTTTTGTTTTTTTTCATACTCTATCGAAAGTCGTCATTGATATGACAATTGTTTATTTATATTACAGCTGTGAAGAGTACAGTAGATTCAGGATAAGAGAAAAGTGCACTTGAGCTTGCAGGTTAGTCATATTCTACTGTACCTTGAGCATCAGGTAGACTTATTTATTGTGAGAAAAATATTAAATAGACAATAGAAAAGACATTTTTTTGATACAGGA